GAAGCGAAATTGTCTTGCTTCTGCTGAGTCACTAAGCGCATAGCCCAAAATTGACGGCAAGACAGGTGATTAGTTCATGCGAACTGTGATATCACGACTGATCTATAAACACCTTCGATCGCTTGTAAAAACAACTCCGTGTCCGTGCTTGGCTTGTCTGGCAGCAAAAAAAAGCCCCGAGACGTTTTAATCTGGCTACTATTTTAAGCTGACAGCCAGTAATCCCTCGTGGTCAGAAAGGCGGCCTGAAAATACACTGGTTTACTCGGTATAAATAAATAATAAACTGACTGGCTGGCTGGCTAGGTAACCTTGTTCACTACGATCGGCGGGTAATCATAGCTTGTCGAACGAAAGAATATGCAACAGTTAATAGAGACCAGTATGAACCGGAAACCGCGCGATAGTTGGTCTTGACTACAACGATGGTTTTGCCTGTAGGTCAGCTGTTTCAGGAAGGCATCAGAAGAGGAATAAAAAGCTGCGGCTGAGTTAATGAAGCCATCGGCAAATGATTGGCTTTGAGATAGAAAGTTTGAGAATTCACCCAGTGCAAATATCTCCTCAGCGCATCCACATTCGGCCGGATATCCGTCTTGGTTGGGTCTCGTCCTGAAGTCTAGTGCTCATAAACGACCTGGGTTTTACAATCACAAAGATCCAATAGTCAGGAGCAATCTCAGATTCTGTAAGCGGATTAAATCACCTCAAGTAGCCAGGGCACGACTTCAGCAAGAATGCTATTCTCTTTAGACGCGTTTTGGTTGCACAACATTGATGATACAGAGCTAATTGTTCTAGGCGGGCAGGCAGGCAGGTGACATGACACGACCGCCGCAATGTCAGAAAGAGCAGGTAAAGGGACTCTGCATGACAAGCGAATGCGGGTGCAGCCATGGCTGGCAATGGGACAAGCACGTTTAATAATGTCCAAAACTGACTCAAACTCCAAGAAAGTCACACCGCATTTTGGATGGGCGGTGAGTGAAACCTGTAACTAGGAAACCCGCCGCCGTGATCAATGCGCCACTGTCGGCCTCTGTTTTCGTTTCAGAAAGATAAAATATGCGAGGAAGAGTATAACCATCCTAGTTGTGATAACACAAGGGCTACTGCTGAAAAATTAGAAAAAAAAACATCTTGGTGTGTACGGAGCGCACTTGTACACCCATCTCCTTTAGAATACAAACTACAATCTGGTTTAAGAACCCGCACTAAGATTTCGCCTAGAAAAATGTATATCACAGGGCAAGCCAAAGGGGAACTAATTTCAACAGAAAGTTGAGGCTTCGGCGAATGCTTTGACGACAGATCATAGGGGACAGTGGACTCCAATATGCCAAAGGTTTAAAGTCGAGGAAGCAGACCACCTTAGGAGCAATGTCTAACATAACAACCGTAGCGGGTACCTAGCCAGGCAACTGGCGACTACAAATGATAAAGATAAGGCAAAAGCCTCAAGAATACTGGTAGTTGCGTTAATATTTAGGTTAAGTTTTATTGATTGGCCACACTGAAGAAAAAGAAAGTGAGCAAATCTGCAGCACATCGAATAGATGGACAGTAACAGCTGGGCAGCAGGCAAATTTGTAGGACTACTGGTAGCACTTCAAACATTCAGTAGAGGGGGTGGAGTGCGTCTCTCTCTCCCCACCCCTCTCCTTGGACCGGTTCCAGCAAACCCTCACCGCCGTATAACCAGCCTTCGCTTACCGATCCCAATTCACCCTCCCCCTCCCCTTATTTCCACAATGCACGAGTATGAAAAGAAGAACATGTTTTAACTTGCATTCCGCTGCCAGTTAAATATACTCGCCCAACGAGAATTTGTGGGAAGCGTACGTATGCGTTTCAACTGCCCCCCCCCTCTCCTGAATTCTCTAATGGGAATTCCCGCAATTTTAGAATTTATTTTATGCTAATTGCATTACCAGAAAGGGGTTAAGGACCACCGGCGTTGCGCTTAGCACATGACGTAAGCAAACGCAGTGGAGGTCACAGAGAGAGGGAGTTGTTACAGGACTTGAAGAAAGACGAGCAATGAAAGCTATACGGCCTCACTGACGTTGAAAGTCCTGGGGGTGGTAAAGAATCTAAAGGCATACAGCTACAGCTCTTTTTGTTGTCAGGCCGCAGAAAACACGAATGACAGACAGATCAAATTTGGACTGAACTCCGGACATTTGAGAAATGTCTTACGTACCTGGAAGTTGTTGTCTTTGAGGCCAGGCTTCTTCAGGAGAAGGCGACAGACCAGTTGACAGGACAGCTGTTCGGGTGGCATCTGCGTGATGCTGTTTTTCAGGGTTTCCATGGCCTCCAGACGCTCCTTCCACACAGACGAGGCGAGCTGGGCCAGCAGGGTCTCCGCGTATGCTCTAAAAGGCCATTTTTAGAGGGCTGAAGTTGGATAACTGAAAGCTTAGTGTGGCTTGTAGTGTTAAGTCCGGGGGCAGTCAGGTGCGATAAATCAATCGCCCCAGCTCGCAATAAAAAAGGCTGCCCGGAGATCACACTGGACAGAAATAATAAGACAGACGTGTGAAGGAAAGTGGGGGCAGTTGGGACCGTAGTGATTCTCAGACGGCACCTATGTGGCATATGCCGACTACCACCCAAAGACATCATCCCTCGAGACGATTCACTGCTGTAGATAACTTGATTTGCATATTATTCACTAGTAGGGCATCGCAACATGGGAAAGCGAATCGCACGCGCATTTTCTAGCAGCCGCAGGTGTGAGGATTTGCTTGTGCAATTCGATCTCGAATCGTGCCAACCAGCCGGCCGGCAATCGGACGCTCACTTCTACTTGAAGACAGTTTTTCAGAAGGTGAAAATGCGATCATCGGAACAAGGTTATTGAGCCGACGTTCCGGATTCTCGTTCAAAGCCATCATCAGTGACAGTCGCAGATAATGATAATGAGGCGCACAAAGTACGCAGTAATTATGAGTATTACGCCCCGCGAGCAGCCGCACCGCGGCTAGTATTGTCAGCAAAGAAATGGGAGAGTGGAATGGAAATTTCTAATTTATTAGCTACCATAGACCACTCATTTCAAACCCCAGGTGTTGAAGCAAACGAGGCCTGAATCCGCAACTTGTTCGTTAGAAGTCCAACGGTCTTACCACTGCTGCAACACCTGGGGTTGGGTATGGCTGCCTGATGACGGCTTATAAGCCAGAAATTATCATTCCAGTTTCCCTTGTCCTGGTTGGGAAGATATTTATGACCGGAACAATTAAGTTCTGTGGTATGTCTCAATTGACGGTCACACAACTCGTATCTAATGCCGCCTTTTAAATGAGCTTGTTTCCGGCCGCCTGTTAGCAATACACTCGGCAATAGATGACTACTTTCGTATTATGCATGCTTTACATCGATTTCATAGGAAACATGGAGGAAAATATTTTTATTATATTCATTTGGAAGAAAATTATGTCGTTTTTAAATTGTAGACCTAAGGAAAATGTATCTTTCACATTAAAAAAAGTAAATTTTAGTTTCCAAATAACGTCAAATATAACCTGCAGTAACACTCGCGTTTAGGGTTTCAAAACTGCATGTTGTGCACTTTCCGTATAAATAAAAATAATACACTTCGTTATAAAAAGAACGTCATACAGGACTCGTGCAATTTTGCAATAAATGCGGACTGTGTTTAAGACTTCATAAGCAGCATCAATAACCAGACAGATTTGATACTCTATTAATGGATATTGAACGGGTATCGAAAACCAATGTGAACACTTTATAATGGCCAGCTTAATCCCAACGAGCAACCTGGGTGTAAAGTATCGCAACCCGTGCCTAAACTGTCCTTGTAATTAGACATATAAAACTTAACTCATGTTCGGATCGGGTTCACATGAACATAAGCTGGCTTGGTGAAGTGATGACAAATTATCGCAAGTTGCTGTTCACGTCTATGAGTTGATCTTCACGCCTATAAGTTGAACTTCAAAGCTCTCAATACACTCGCCCCTGTCGGAAACAAGACGAACTAAGAACTGATTTAACCCTGGTCTACGGAGGGGAACTCAAGTAATCGATGTATCGATTTTGCACCGGCGTACAGAGCCCTGCGCGGTCACATCTAGAAGTGTGTCACTGACGGTTGATTGCTTTATATCCCCTATAGATGCCCCCTTTTTGCTACTGTTGTTACCCCTGACGATGAACTCCTGTAAGAGTTTGAAAACTCAGAACAATAAATAAACTGTTCCTTCTCCTTTACCCATGAAAAGTTTACAATATTTAAGTAGTCTCTTGGAGTCGAGCTGGAAAGAAGCTCACTCAAAAGGGAGCATCCTGACGTGAAAAAAATACCTGAGGATTATGCTGCATGCTACTCAGTATTACAGCCCCACCCAAAAGCCCCCTTTTAATCCAAAACTTTGATAAATATTTCATGAGGTAGGCTGCTATTGTAGTCGTAACGATACACTTCCCTGGCCCCCGTGACACAGGAGAACGACTCATGCAGATAATACTGAGCAAAACTGGCATGGGTCCTACCGCATCATGCTCGAGAATAATGGATGTCGTGGTAACCTCTAAGAAATCAACTACCTCAATGCCTATGAAGAGTCATCGGTGGCTTTAAAAAGACGGCTGTTCACTCACTCAGTGATCTTGGCTTCTAAGACATCCTCCGACCAGAGTTGCTCTTTAGGTAGACCGTCGGAAGGCGGGGCTGCTGAGTCGACCTTCTTCTTTGCACCGGCAGGCTTTGTGGGTTTTGGCGGGGCGTCCTCACTCGCCTTACCTTCGCCTGCCGCGGCTCCTGCGGGCTTACCGCCCTTCACGACCTTGAAGGTTGGCTTCGAAGGAGCAACAGGGGGCGCTGCGTCAGAGCTTGATGTGGCTGCCTTGTCTAGAGGGAAAAAGCAGAACAGAATACGTCATTATCCCGTCCTCTGTAGGGAAGTTAAGGTCTTCTAATGCCAACCGTCACGAAGAATAACAGTCGACATCACGGCAGAGACAAGCATACACTATAGTAATTAACGTACTCTTTGCAACCCCTTCTTCTCCTAGTAAAGAAATGAAAACACTGGTTTAACAAGCTCTTATGGCTTTCTTTGCAGAATGGGAAAGCAGACTTGCTTTACTCTCGTTTGAAAAGCGGTATTTGACCACTCTGCCTGCATCCGATTCTGCTTCCAGTCTTTTTTATTCTGCCTTGACATTGGCCACGGGCGGATGAGGGAACAGAGAGAGAATGCAGTAGATGTAACGTGAATCCACTATTGCCTAAAGCAAATCCACGCGTAAGACACCATTTATGCACCACCAGGCTGTGGAGCATGCAGTGGTCATGGTCGGAATCGATGGTAGCACTATCATTTGACCAACACTGCCTGAGGACTATTTTTTGAGTTGGGTACACCGACTTTGCCTTCAATGCCACTATTTGCAGTCACTGTAACATCGTAAAAATATTCCAGGTCATCCAATAAGGACGACTGAGGTGATGGAAGCACATCCTTCGTCGTCAACCTCACGAGCTCAGTGTTGCTGCCCTTGATCCGATACCGTTTACTAACTGGGGGCGTCGGCGAGGGGCTCGACAGAGTTAGTGAAGACATGGAAGTGGTTCTTGGACCTTCGGTATTCGGTCTCCGTTGCGGGCGAAGAGAATGGGTTTAAGTGACCAGATATGCTGAGGCGAATCGCCATGCAAGGTTCGGGAAATCATAGTGGTCGGCCAGATCAGGCATGATCGCAGCCGTAACAAATAGTAAGTAACAGCGTATTGCGAATGCTAGTAGCAGACAATGCTGATTAAGCCCGTGTGCAGCCACGCTTTTGGAGGAGTGCTTTTTCCAGAAAACTTAGCACCCAGTGGCTTGCTAATAAAGATCAACTCTCTCGCAATAATCAAATTGGGAGGGCATTCGAGTTTCAGCATACCTTAAATAAGGCGTGAATTTTGCCCGTTAATGAAAACTGCTGCAAGTAACGCCAACAACAACAGACATAAAGGCTATCTGTGTATAGGTGAAATGGAAGCAGCGAGCGATAAGCGCATCGAAGGATTATGCAGGTACAGTCGTGCACACGAGGCAACTCAATAAAGGAGCTAGGACGTAAACTCTGAAAAGACTTATCTGATTCATTTTTGAAATATGATCACGGTCTTGTTTATTAAGTGTTCTTTATTAAAACCCTTCTGTTTCCTGCCTATGATGTCTATTTTATACAATCCGCTCGTAAGGACATCAAATGTTGCAACAAATAAACTGAATATACCGTGATTTTTATAATCAGTTTTTAAAGACTAAGAAAAGAAGCAAGGACTAATTGCAGATGGCACCTCTACGAATCCTCCAAATGCAAACACTTGGTTTAAAAACATAAAACATGCGTTTTTCCTCATTTTCGGAGATAGCTGATGTAGCAGATTGGTGTCCGAAAGTTTCGAATGAAAGACAAGGGTGTCCTAGACCACCGCATATGACAAATAGGCTAGTTGTGTTCCCCGCAGCGGTCAGGAGACCTATTCTGGTATGATAAACGTCACCCTGAACATTCGATCTTCCTTTTGATTGGAAAAGAGCTTACGGATATAACTTACGTAGCGAGCGTTCCTTTGACATGGTTATGACGTGCACTTAACGCAGATGTCGAACAGAATAATAAGCCTTTTACAGGGCACATGCATTAAAGGCACTACATGCCTACGTCTCAACCCCGAGACAATAAGTTATGGAAGACGGAATGCTAACTTTTGATACTTACCAGCATCACCACTGCTGCCTCCTTTTTTCTCATTGGCTGCTTTTTCGTAGAACTCCTTGATACGATTAAGCCGGATGTTGTCGATATCCGTAAGGAATGGCGAGATATTTTTCTCGGTAACAATGAACATGGCCG